TTTACCCGTAGTCCTGTTGATAATGTATCGCCGACAACACAACATTTAATTGTTGATTGATCGCCAAATGGCCGCGACATGCGAATTTCATTGGATATCATATTTCGCTTACTAAATTCATCCCCTCTTGTGCATATTCGATATGGATTTATTATTTTCGCCTTCGTCTTACCCTCCTTTCAGTTTCGGAAACGATACGTAAAATAACGGAAGAAACGCGGAGCCGGTAATGGGGGAAAATTGTACTTTATTCGATTTTGATAGACTTGATGATGGAATTGGATTTCGATGTCACGTTGATAAATAACTTAGAGATGATATTGAGGAACAGCGAGTCTTAGTTATTTAGTTATGTAGATGAAATGAAGATGAGAAGGTAATGAGTTCATATTTAATTACTTAGTAATTTACTTGTATATAAAACTCAAACAAATGTGGTGATTAGGGCTATACGTACGACAAACTTAAGTAAATAAATATTATTAAGACTCCCTTTAATATCTGCTCTTAATTATTTCATAGATTAGTAAGGTTTAGTACTTTTTAGCGAAAGTTGATTCGAATCGAATAAAATCTTCGCTATGATGAACCAAAGCTAAATAATTTTATGTCCAACAAAACAATTTCATGTTTATTTGGTGTCGTATTCAAGTGTAATAAAACTTTATAATATTTAATAACCTTATCTTTAACATACAAGAACTCCTTAAGTTGCAGTTAACTGAAATTAAGTTTACTAAGTGATAAAGCCCATAAGTGTAAACAAGCAAGTGTCGACGATGTGCCGCTGAATAATAAACATTAGACTGTTCCTAAGCAGAGATAGTGGTTAATTTTAATTACTCTCAACCAATTATTTCAACGTTTATTCGATTAGGAACAGCAATTTGTATAACTTTGTTGTCTAAAGCACCCATTAAGTTAGAAAGTTTTAATTCAATTTATAGACATTAGTGTTGAGATATCATTGTGTACAGTCACCAACAAAAACAGACTTCGAATAAGAGAACAAAAGAATTTAATATCGCGGCATTAACCTTCTGATTCACTGTTGTAGTTACATGTTTATTTATCGTATGTCTAGAGATTTACAATACTTTTTAAAAACACTCTTGTGTTAAATGCAGGTGTAATTCTTGCTTATTAAATCGATATATGTATATTTAACTCAATTCTGTAACTTGTAAACGACAAAATCGTTCTCTCTTTCTGTCTTCTTGTAATATCAGAGAGGAGAGATTATGTTAGCAGCTAAAGAATAACCGGGTATGCATTTTTTATTCATATTTGTTCGCGTCTGTACGTTGTTAAAACATCACCCACATTTTAAATAACATTGGATAAGCTAATATTTACGATCGTCAGCAGTCGGCTTGCACTCGGAATTAAAATTCATTGTTTCTCTTATCCTGTGGAAAGATAAACCGAGGTCAAAAGATATCGCCTTATCTGGGTTACAAGGATAGGCTTTTAGGAAGAGGGCCTGATAGCAAAGTGAAGGAATAATTACGTGACCTCATTGAATTGGAGATTGATACCTTAAATTGATCAATTTACTTTGAAGTGAACTTTGGAATAGATTGAATTACTTTTGAGTTTTGTTTGTAAAGGCATTCTGACGGCGTTGTAGAGAAGTTAGTGGGTTAACAAAAACTATAAAGATTATTTCACAGATAAAAAAAACAGTTACGAAATCTACATGCCACTATTAATCCAAATATGGATACAACTTGCTTACAGTGTAAGTAACAAGATGTGTTATGGAGGCTGGAATAAGAGTAAAGAAATTAAAATTAACATATACTCGTAATAATATTGCAGAATTATATACATATATGGAATTAAAGTATTATTTTATTACTAAATCTTCTGTAATCTAAATACACTGCTAAAGGCAATCTTTTCTTTTATATCTTTTTTAAAATATAGACAATAAAAATTAAGAATGCAATCTTCCTAATTGAAACTATCATTAAATTGTCAACTTGCATTTTGCAAACAGGGAATGAAATAAGAAAACGGGAACTAAAGGGACATGGATTGTAAATATGCGCATGTGTTTATATAATAAGTATTGTATGTTAAACGACCTCAAATAGAAGTACAAGATGGGCTGCATCCGTTCGCTTTACCGATGACCTCGGTGACACCAATGGGTTAGGAGACAAGATCAGAAACATTAACCGTTGTCTCATACAAACTCTACCAGTATATCAATGGAATACATTGTAATATTCTTACTCTATGTGTATTGTACTCTTTACGTTTATCTCGCATTGTCATGTTAAGGCTATTTAGATTCTAGTGCACATTTGTTCAAATAGGATTATTTTAATCTTTGCGGGAATAAGAACGTGACATTCTTTAGACTCGCGCTCTTCAATTAAATAAATAGATAAATTAAATAATTAACTTCAATAAGGTTTAAAAAGGAACGCATTACTATATTAGAAAAAGATTTGTCCAACGTATCACTTAGGATTTCGGTTCAAAGTTATTGTAATATGTCAAATTATTTTACAAAGTTTCGCCATGTATATGTCTTTCTATTGTAAAAATAACTATGAATTACATTAACTTCTAGATATACAATGTGCTTTGTTGAAAAACTTCCTAACTCAAATTACATCTAATCGTTATTTGAATAGAAAATAATTTAAACCTCATTCACGTTTATTTTTCATTATAACTTGAGCCATCATTGGTTAAAAACTAATAGGTTACGTGCGTGTTCATTTTTTTCCTGTCAATGCGTAAGTAAACGCAACTCTAACTAAATGTATCGAATAACACGGTTACAAGAACTAATGTTTCTATTTGTAACGTTTCCGGCTTTTTACTTTAACCGGCGAGGGTACAGCAATTAAAAGAAGATTTGTGAGCCGACATTTGAGTTGGTAGAGCGGGCGCACACCTTAGACTAAACTATCGCACAATTGTTGTTCGGTGTTTGTTTTGTAACCCGCTCAATAGTTTAGTTGCACAACTGAAAATTGAACAGTGTGCGAACCATATACTCGTAAGCTCATAGGAATTAAAGCGCGACTAAACAGTTGTGCGATATTTTAGTCAAAGGTGGACGCGCGCTCTTTTTCATAAATATAACTTTGAAAGGTAATAAGAAATTTACTTATTTTTAAATTTGAATTTACTCCCTTCTTAATTAGAAGCAGAGATCCTTGACTTGGTTGCTTAATCGAAATTTTATACACAAACCGAACCAACATTCAATATGCTACAATTTAATATACATAGATACATTAGATAACAAAGGCTTATTCAATAGCTTTATCGACCGCAATGTACTCCAAATTGTACAGTAAAATTTTATCATCCACACGTAAAATAAAAAAGCAAACAATGTTTTTTGAACAATGCCGACGCTCGTTACTTATTAACGACAGTATTCAGGGATTCAATGGGCCTCCATTAACTTTATTTAATACACATCAAGTGATATAATATTTACAACAAACCGTTCAATGAATTATTTACCGCTCGATGACATTACGAGTATATTAATGACAAGGACTTTAGCATGAATGTTGACTGATGTAACGATTAAATAAATCTATATCTATTCTAATACCATAAACAGGAAACATTTGTCTTTTTGTATGTATTAAAATAATTTAAAAATTACATGGCCAATTACAAAAATTTTTACACCAATAAAAAGCTATGTTATCACTGAGTAACATAGGCTAAATGTTTACTATTTTTTTAATTTCTCGCGGGCGAAGTCGTCTATACTAATGTCAAAAGAGGAAATATCTGTCTTTTTGTATGTATTGAAATAATTCAAAAACTACTGGGCTGTTTTCAAAAATTCTTTCACCATTAAAAAGGTACGTTGTCAGTTAGTAATACTGGTTACATTTTTTATTATTTTTTTTAATTCCAGGCGGGTGAAGTCGAAAGTTGCAGCTAGTATATTACAAACGCGATTCACACTGTCATTATTTCACTGTCAACCCATCTGTATATAAATATACTTATCCCTATGTTTCAAAACAGGACGATGAGAATATGTACAGAAGTTGTATCGTAGTTAAAGCTCACGTTAACTTAATTAATTTTATTTTAAACGGTGATTTATTAATCTTTATTTTATTTATGGTTGTAAGAGGTAAGATTAAATAAAAGTATACCGGAGATATAAAGTTAATCTTAATTAACACCCGCATCTAAAATTCAACCGGACAAATATTGGCAACAGCGCACAAACTGGCTTACAGATTATTTTAATCTCCTATCTCTTTTGATTTAGATTAGGATTATGAAAGCTTTATTTATTTAAAGCGGTAACGTAAAGGAATTTTAAGCAATAAACGTCATAGTTAAGCGAAAATAACAGTTAATCATCGAGATTTCTTTTCAGGCGTTGTGTATTCTTGCTAATTCATGGCTTCGCTCCCCGGCGCGGATAAGTGGCGGTCGGCTCGGCCGGAAGTCGTTTTTTTCTCCTCTCCAACTTTTGAGAGCCTTGCAAAATGTCTTCGAGAAATACTCTTTCCCCCTTAAGTACGTTTTGACATCCCTTTTGGACATATTTTTTACAATAGGTCTGCACTTAAAACGCTCTTATGATGTCCCGTCGCCAATCCTATTTGCGAGTGATGGTTATGAAAATGTTTTAGGTGGTGTTGCGATGTGTTTTTTTATGTATTTCACTACTTTTTAAATAAATTAAATTACACGTGGAAAGGAAAATATGAAATTAAAAAAAAATAATCAAATTTTACATTACTATGTCATACATGTTACCAATGTTTGTTACTAATTTGACGATTGTTTTAAAACAATCGCCATCTTATAGTATATGTAGTCTTGTAGTATAAGTACGTTTACATTTTGTTACCATTTATTACAAAAAGTGTCAATCTTAAAATATGTGCCGCAAGATATTTTGGTTTTTTTCCTATATCGTCAATATATCATTATTTAAATGTTGTCCGATTTATAAAATAATTTAAACAGCGTAATATATAAATACTTACAAAATTTAAACATCCCAGTTTCTATATAAACTCCAACGATAACGTCACAAATTGCACAAAAGCTAGCACTCAATTGAAAATGTTTTCAAAAGTCACAATCGTAATTCAAACATTCAAATTTCGCGCCATACGCTAAAACAGCGCTACGTCCTACCCTCTCAGAGGCTGGAAGGCAACTAACATGGGCCTGTCTCCCGGTCTAGACGTGGGCCGGGCGGGGTGAGGTGGGGTGGTTTCGCGAGGGCAAATCAACCCCGGCGAACATTTGCCCAGAGTACGATCGAGCTTTAACATCAATAAGGAAGTATCCGATTACGTAAAAGGATAATACCGACAAATTTAAATGGCCAGTAACAATATTTTTATTGTATGTGATACATTGAATTTAGATTCTAATAGATTGCAATTTTTTTTACGATGTGTTCCTCTTTCTAACTCGTATTGCATATGGTGCTGCGATTGACTTTTATTTCTACGCAATTCAGTAATTAAAAAAAAACATACTAATTATGTTAGAAGAACCATAATCGTAACTCTACAAAAAAACTATGTAAAGACTTTTTTAAATCAGATTTTCAGCACAGCTTTTATCGGCGAAGTATTCGACTTGTAAATACAGTAAAATGTGCTAACTTTCAAGGGTTGTCTCATTAGTTACGGCATTAATTTTGTATCCTTTTTACATCTTACGCTTAAAACTGACGATCCACGATCGATTTGAATTATTTCCTTAAGATACAATTTATTAAAAACACTATAATACTTTAAATAAGTAAGTTAATACTGTATCCTGTTATATGGTAAACCTATCGCTACCTTGTCCACAAATGACATAATAATCATTAATGAAATGTCATTTGAAACATGCAATAGCGAAGCGCGCAAAACGCACGAGTGAATAGTTGATGGTTAATACACGAGCCCATTTGTGCAAGATTGGAATAGCTATTAAGCCCCGGGTTCTATTAATAAAATGTCTGCATTGCGAGTGCAGCCGATGTGGAGAATAATCTGTATCGATCTAGTTTAAATTTAGTTCACAGCACGCCGTATGCTGATTGCGCAAAATTTACCTTAAAACGTACGAGCTATCGCTATTGAAATGTCTCTACGGCTTACGTTTTTATTTACTGTATGGCAATGAACAACTATTTAATTTTATATTAAACTTAAAGTGGAATTAACATACAAAAATATTTAGAAACTAGTTGTTGCCGTGCGGCTTCATCCGCCTGAAATTATAAAAACTTTATTTTAATATCGTCTTTATAACTTTACTTTATTTACATTTGTCGAATTCTCAATTGCAAATGTCAAAATAAAAATTCAAATTGTAATAAAGAAAGAATTTTTCGAAAGTGTGTTTACGCTGGAATGTAATAGACCATAGGAGTCAAAATGTTCCAGTATGTTCTAGACAGCTATGGACAGAACGACCTTACTTTGCAGGCACAAAATATGAGCCATCAAGTCAGGTTACTTTGAGAAGCCTCAAACTCAATATTTCTGGCAGTAACAAAACTGGATATAATACAATAAGACAAGTATACAAGATACATTGTTGCATAAGATGCGGGCATTTATAATGACAAATTGACGTTTTCAACGTGTTTTAATGGGCCTGATGTTTAAAGTGGCACTGAATAATAGAGTTGTAGTGATACAGCACAATTTAATGTTACCTACAAGGATGGTCTTACTTTACTTTCATACGAGGACAGTAAGGCAGAGCAATAGACAAACAACGGACAAAAAAATACCTACTGTGCTGTCACAACAAGCTTGAAATTGCTTGGCCTCACTGTCCTCCCCTTGTGTGAAAATATTACGTTCAAGTGACCATCATTGAGAGTCTTAAGGGGAAAATTTATCAGGAGATAATGTAATTTAAAACTGCTTTTTACAATGAAACGCTATTATTCATAGCTGTAACACACTAATATCTGATTATCACGTCTTTAATCCTACTAGATTAAAAGGCTTAGTTCTAAAAATTGATTTAACCTATATGGTTAATATCTAGAGGAATTGTTTGCTTTGTTGGAGACAGGTAAGGCATAAATGTCGCTTCTTTAACAAAATTTCGTAGGTGAACTTTTAATGAAAGACTTGTGTATGAAATCAAATGAATAATTTTATTGTTTCATAAAAAGTCGTTACAGAAACCCATCACGTGTATTTCATTCCCGTCAAACTAATTTAAAAAAGTCACGTCGTTCGTAGAGTTTGCATGTTGAAGTAATTTTCAGGGAAGTGCAGTTAATCCCCGACGTCAAGTTAAGCTCACAAAATCTTCCGACGAGATAGAGCTTTCGGTTGTTTGCTGGTCGGCGCTATGTACTCTACGTTTATGGTTGTGATAGCTTGCGCGGACATGTTTATATGCATGTACACTACAACGTATAGATAACGTTATTTGTCGATTATTAACGGGTTATGAAATAACACTAGCATTACTCAATTGAGTAAAATTAGAGGAAACAACATGTTAAAAAATATTTATGAATTTTCATTAAAAAAAATATTAAGAAACTCGATGAGGGTAAACCAATAGCTTCGTATCTTAGGTCATAAATGGTGGTAACGATATAAATGCATAACAAATGAATGCGTTTCGATATGTGAGAACAACTAATTGATCACGTTAAACACATTACAAATAAATAATTTTGTTTGAGCGAAAAATAAATTCGAGTTTTTTATATAAAATGTTACTCCATGAACAGAACATTCATTTTGCTCGCGTGTTTAACGGGACTGTGCTCCGCTGTCTAATAAGTACAATTAAAGAGCCTTGTATTATTTGCAGCATCGTACTTAAAAAAAAAAAACAAAGTAGAGTAGAAACTAGCACAATATTTTAAAGACAATCCAGTTTAGTCGCGTTTTTGGTCACTGAACCAAATAAATCTGTCGCACTATAAAAGTCTTAGAATATGAATAAAATCATATCTATACTTTGCATCTGTTCTTCTGATTGCTGTCCATGCTGTTGTCAGTATTTATTGATCTATATTAAAGAGGAAAGATTTGTATTTTTGTATGTATTGAATTAACTCAAAAACTACTGGGCCGATTTCAAAATTTATTTCACCATTAAAAAGCTACGTTATCAGGGAGTATCATAGGCTATGTTTTTTTTTTACTTTTTATTTTCCCGCAGACGAATTCGCGACAGCAATTCAAAGTACAGTATGAAGTTTAGGTGTAGTTAACAGTGAATTCACACATTAATTTTCGTCTACAGGTAGGTGCTACAGAGATCCAGGTATGCTTGAACTAGTTACAACTTTCAACTGGGATCGGAAACTATGCCATTCAAGTGCTCTGTGCCAAGCTTCCTGCAATACATCGTGTAGCGTCAGCAAAACAAATGCCTAAAGGTAAACTTATTACCTGCCAGTGTTTTTTAACTTTAAAAAAAGACTACATTGAAATGTCGGATTTGAACTTTAGTTTTTAGGAAGCATAGCATCTTAGCTTCCAAAAAATATAAACAAACTTATAGTTGCTCGCTAAGTCCGCGTAGAACAAAAAAAATAGTAAAAGCCTATGTTACTCAGTGATAACGTAAATTTTTAAAATTGAAAGAATTCTTGAAATCGGCCCTGTAGTTTTTGCGTTATTTCAATATGTACATAATACAAATATACAAATCTTTCCACTTTATAATCTATACTATTATAATAAAGCGTAAACACACACTTCTTTGTTGCCTAAGATGTCAACAATTACAACATATTTTTGAATAATTCCTTCTTTTTAATAAAAAGCTCTAACCTTACGTCACGCTTTAGGCTACATTTTTTCCCGCCATTAAACTTAGGGGGTAAACATTTTGGATAAAAACCCTAATGTGGGAAAGAGACCATAAGTTGCTGCCAACATCAAGGAAACAAGATTGCCAAGGTCATGTCATGTCAGTTTGACATTTCCTATTGATAATTTGACAAATGTAAACAATGAAATAAAATTTTCATAATTCCATGCGGATGAAGCCGCACGGGAACAGCTAGTATTAGTATAAATTACAGTTATAAGTGCATAGAAATTTGAAAGTCTTAAACCAAAATCAAAAGGAAAATGAAAATCTTTCTAATCAACTTTCACTGCTGATTGTACAACGTTAATTTAGCAGTAAAACGCGGGAACATTTCACACAACTCTCGCCGGGGGGCGCTATATGCTAATTCACACAATCACAAACGGCTGCCTCCAACTCTGATACAACAAATGATAGTGATAGGATGCGTTCTGAACCACGTGTACCGTATTCGGGAATTACAACGAAATATTACGTTTCAAACAGTACTGAATTATTATGAAAATAGAATTATATAGGGCGCACAAAACTAACCTATCAAACAACTGTTTAGTCTCTCTGATTCCTATGACCTTATATGGAGGTGTGCACACTACTCGATTTTTAGTTGTCCAACAAATAGATGAATTGGCTGCGAAACAAACGACAATCGCACAACAGTTGCGCCATAGTTTAATTAAAGGTGTGCGCCCACTCTTAAGATAAATGTAATTTGTAATTAAAATTATAGTATACTTACTTAAAACGATTACTGGCAATAGGCAATAGATAATAGAAATAAATATTTCTGAAGTAAGCTTTTAAGTGCGTTGTTTCCAATTTCGAAACAAAAAAATGCTAATTTCATCTTTCAATTAACTATCGTGATTTATTTGTCCTCAGAAAAATTAAGCTGCAAGGGTCTGGAAGATATTTTTTTTATACATTTATAAGTAATTTTTTATTTATGAGTCCCTCGTGGTTGTGTAAGTGGTCGCTACTTGAATTTGAGAGCTTTGTCCTTGAGATGTCTCGTTCGAAGAGACGAAATGAAAATAAGTGGATAAATTGAGTGAAGGCGTAGGCTTACCGCTATATTTTAACTAAATAAGGTTTCATATATGTTTTCTATTCGACCGTATGTACATGAGTGAAATAAGAACGGATACAAACCTCCTCTGGATAAAGGCAGATGAAAAAAGTCCATTATTTCGCAGGCAAAAATAAACAATTGGATCGGTTTTCGATATTCATTTATTAATTTTTTTTAATTGCCTATAATATTATAGATCTTTTTCAATAACTTCTGATAGCCACATTGAAGTGTTTACAAGGCATTCTGGACACGCTCCAAGGTC